TCTAACCAATTAAATTTAAAGATTATGTATGATATGATTAATTTTGTATAACAAAAATAAGATATTTTGTAATATCTTGTCTATGAAACTACCTTTTATGTTCTAACAAAAAACTTTGCAAAATTTTGGTATATACTAACTCTAACCTAACCCAAACCTTAGTTCTAACCCTAATTCTAATCTTAATCTAATTGATTTTTTTACAAAATTGTTTTGACACAGATTTACAATTATAATTTATATATATGTGATAAATTAGCACATCGCAGAGTATGATATATACATTTATTTTTTAGTAAATATATAATTTAAATAGTTGGTTAAAAGTTTGATATATAATTTTTTGATATATTTCAAAAAACTGATAAATAGAGTTTTAATCCAGATAAATCTATTATCTATTTACCCACATTGACATAACCAGATATCTATCTATTTACATTGGACATCTAAAATAGATTAACCGAATTATCTGGAGTATAAGAAAGAACTATTTTAGTATTACTGCTCTAAAAAATTTCTTAGACCAAATTGATTTCAAAATCAGATATTATGTAAAAAAAATACGAAAAATCAAAACAAACTAAAAAATCCTTTATAGTTCATAATTATCTATGAAATTGTCTGCTGCGCACTAACAAAATAATTTAATTGCAAAATTTTAATTTTATCTGCCAACTTTAATTTGTAATAGTTGAACCCAATTTATAATAAAAATATATTCGGCTTAGTTTTTACTATGTATATTTTCTATTTGTTTAAATTCAAATCTATTTAATTGTTTTACAAATGAATATATTTATTCACTACAATTGACATAAAATTTATAGCAATATAATTTGCAATAGCACAACGTCTAACAAATAGACGCCACTTTAGCTATAATACCAGATCTAATAGAGCCAAAGTAAACAAAACTCCTGGTAGCAAACTTACTTGGCTATATAAAAAGAAACCTGCTAAAGGTCTTCACTATAGTGATTGTGAGTGTAGGCTTTCAGAAAATCTAGCTCTCTACCACACCAATGTGCATAAATTTCTAAATA